GTTTGTGTCTTCCTGGTTGGGCTGGGGGAGCATGCTCCCTCCCTAGCCCATTGGACGGCCCCCTTCTTTCAACACCCCCCGGTAGTGTTGCCCAAAATGGCCCTCCCTCTCCACACCCTTAGCTCACAACCAAGTCTAGAGATTTTCGTTTGCTCCTGATTGTTGAGGGGGCCCCGCCTAGCCGGGTCTCCCTGAGCTGTGGCTGGCTTCACAGAACACGATACACTGATGTGCCAACCCTTAGCGTCCCATAAAAGCCGTGATGATATTGTGGGCCTCATGAGGTCATCACACAAAATGATGGTGATAACGACATGGCATACATGACAGTAGTTTTCTAACCCATGGGGCTAATCTGTGGGGGTCTCAACGGATGCTGTTCTCCAGGCTTATGCAGCACGCTGAACGGGACACAAATCAGTCACATTTTAGCCTATAACTTGTGGAAGCCCCACTGTTGGGGGTTAGTTTAACATTCAGTGCGCTGTGTGTACTGGGCAACCAGATGAATTTAGTCAACTCTGATTCAGTCATGGTTTGCATGTTTGCTGTGGGGATATTTAAACAAGCTAAATGACCATTTGTAGGAGTGGATTTCTGCACTGGACAGGAAGTTGAATGAAATTATCTCCAAGGTAGCTTCCTTCTATCCTATGTTGTGCCCGCACACACACTCATTATTTGACGTACATTTTATTCTCTGCATTCACACAGCCTGTGTAACCTGGTTTTCTGGGTCTGCAATGACACATCGAAGTATAAACTAACTAAACAGATTGGATTTTCACAGTGCCCCCCCAAATTAGCCAGGGTTAACGCTAACAAACTTAGCATATTCTGTGACTACACGGACTAGGTCTTTAACTGGCCCAGTTAGGTTTGCTATATGAAGACACCATAGACAGAGTCAGGGTGGGGAAGTGAACCTCCTAAACCTGTAGGACAATTTCTCTGATCTTGCAGGTTCATACCCCGGTTGCTGGCCTGTCTGATTTTCTTCATTTCTTAACTTGAAAAAGGGCTAATCCCTCTCTTCCGAGGGAAACAGTTCCATCTCCTCCTGTCTTCCAACATTTATCTTCCCCCCAAATTTTCCTCCTCCTTTCCCTTGCCCTCTCCTCCAGATTCAGTATTCCTCATGGCCCAGCGTCTTGGCGACCGAGCTGGCGTCAAAAGAATTCCACCGGAAACCTTCCTCTCAACCTAAAAATAATAATTTTGAGCTGCTGCGAAAGAGGCCGCGAGCAGCCGCTCGCTCTGAGCTTGTCCATGCATAATGTATGGGGCTGTGTGTAATTATGGGTTTTCCCAGGAGGGCTGAAGGGGAGAATCTGTTGCTGGATGAACACGCCAAGCTGGCAGCGGTGGGATGGCACAGGCAAGGCTGTGTTTTAGCGTCTAGGTGTGCCATGCGGGAGTTTCTGATGCTGCTTCCACACAAGGGGAACTTTGGATGGGCCTTAGGGGAAAGGCGGGTTCTGACACTGTCCTTGCCCTGCGTGGAGCAAACGTTTGTTCTCTGGTGCCTAGACGGGCAACAGAAAATGGGGCATAAAAGAAGAGTCACTCTGTTATTTAGAGCTTAGGGTTGCCAACTTGTTTTGTGGGCATCTGCTCCTGCACCTGTTACATCAGCTTGCTCTGTAGGCATTTGCCATTGTGCATGAAGCTCTTTGGAAAAGCACAGGCGGGCAGTTCGGGTGTGAGGTCCTTTCCCCGACCTGGTGCCCTCCTTAAGAGTATCTGTGGGTTTCAACCGTTCCCACGGTCGCCCTTTAAGGCAGAGGAGCATCACGTTCCTGTTGCAAGTGGCAAGAATGGGGAAAGCAAGGCTGATTTTGTTTAAGCCAGCGCTCTCCAAGCTGGGTCCCTCCGGATTAGTCCTGCATCTCTGGAAGTCAACCAGATTGGAGGCAGCTGAGGTCAACCCGTGGCTCAATCGCCAGTCCAGTGTTTCTCAACCTCAACAATGTTAAGATATGTGGACTTCAACTCCCAGGATTCCCCAGCCAGCATGGCTGGCTGGGGAATCCTGGGAGTTGAAGTCCACACATCTTAACTGAATGAGGTTGAGAAACACCACATCAGACCCCACTGTTTTTCCTAGAGCAGGCTGGCAAGCCGCGAATCGTGATGTCTCTTCCCCCACAGCGCAAATAAGCTGTAGTCCCTAGGCTGTTACAGAGAGATAAGAAGGCAGAAGCCCAGCATTCGTTCTCAGACTTGCTGCACATTTACCCACTTCCCGCTTAGAAATTAAATCAGAGAAAAGCTGGCCATTCTAACCTGCATCAATTACACCGTTGTATATGCCTCTACTTTGCATAAGACCTTTCGCTCCTGCTGCCCTTAGAAAAAGGCAAAGAACGAAACTGGAAATCCCATGATCTGATTTCTGGGACGCGATCGGGGCTTTCCGCGTCGCTGTGCACCTTAAGAACTAGAAACTTGATTTCAGGAAAGAAAAAACCCACAATCGCTTGAAAAGCTTAGGGTTTTTCGCATGTTAACCCCGATGTCCAGCACCAACTCTGGCTTGTGCATGGTACTGTTGCTTAGAAACTAGGAAACCTGATTCCCTGAGTATACCCATAGTGCCTTGCCTGTTTATCCCATAACTAGGGGGTGGCACCACTTTTCGCTTTTGGGATTCCCCTCCTCACCAACCTCCTCACCCGGTCGCCCAGGTGTTCAAAAGCTGAAGTGGTGAGAGGAGGCAGCCCACACCCCCCCCCCACTTCCCCCTCTGCAAGGTGGAGAGTATCTGGCAACTGGAGATACTCAAGGCAGCAGCTGGCTGCATCCTCTGCAATGCAGGACTGAAGCGCCCTCTAGTGCCTAAAGCTGGAAAAGGCAGGCCAGCGACAAAGGGCTTCGATGAGCCTTGCTCGGCTACCCCAGCCTTGCTCCAGGAAGGCAGAAATGCTACATTTTCATAGGGAAAAAAAAAGCAAAAAAGCAGAGGACTGTGGCTCAGAAATGCTTTGTCTGCAATATGTGTGTTAATGTTTGAAGTGCCCCAAAGACTTTATTTATTTATTTATTTGCTTAAGCAATTTATACGGCCGCCCCCCTCACTCACGGACTTTGGGGGATCTTTGCTGCCACGGGCTAACGGTCTGGCTGCCTTTCTTGAAAGTGGCGAAGGAAGGATGACCTCCTCCCTCGCAAACCAGAGCTTGTGTCGTCGGTTGCCTAAAGCAGGGTTCCTCAGCCTTGGCACCTTTAAGACGGGTGGACTTCGACTCCCAGAATTCCCCAGCCGGCATGGTTCACTGAAACTTGCATAGGGGCAGGAAACGATCACCCTGATTTGGGCCCAAATCTGGCAGCGTAAACTTTTAAAGGCCCTGCAACCGTTCCTGCGATCATCTGGCGAACGCTGACCTTCTTCAGGGGCTCCCAGATGCTTTCTCCGTATTGTTGCGACGGACTTAAACGCGTCTGGAAACAGACTTGAGCTTTGTTATGAGCATTTGCTCATCTGCACCGTGCTTACGACTCCTTTGTAAGAGAACGGCCGTTTCCAAGCCTGCTGCAGAGACCCGGAGGCTGAAACGTTCTCCCCCTGGTTTCTGCAGGCTGTGTTACGGCTCCTCAGACCCAGCCCCGGGCGAGTCGGTTGTGACTGTTGTGGTTGCAAAGATACGCTCGGAAAGGCCCCAGTCACAGCTAGTCAAAGTCCCTGGAGTGGTAACAGCCGAACAAGATTTCCAATAATTGGAGGTCTGATTTTAGCATCTTTCACGATGTGTGTTTGTGCATGTGAAGAGGGAGGGAGAGAGGATGCCCTGGTTCATCTACTGCGCTAAGCCCTGGTTTGTTTAATTCATACCAGGCAGAAACCACAATGATCTGGGTCCACACAACGTGCTTAGCTGTACAATGAAACCCGCTCTGTTACGCCTAAGCCCGGTGCAAGCGAGGAGAGGGCAAGAAGTGTTATGCATGACGGCTCAAGAGCCGGGGAGGAAAGAATTAACTAATTGAATTAATAGAGCCGCCCAACCTAATGGGCTCTGGGTGGCTTACAATAAAACCAGCCCGTAAAAAATCCCCAGCGAGATGGCATGACTTGAGGAAACTAATATTCTGGGAAAAGAGCCAGGTATTCCAGACTCGCTTGACGGACAGCAGAGTCGGGGCAACCTCGGGCGGGAGGAAGCCGTTCCAGAGAGTAGGCACCGGGACCAAGAAGGCATGCTTCCTGGGACCCGTTCGACGGCATCGTTTCAAGGGTGGCACCCAGAGTATGCCTATTCTGCCAATCTAGTGGGGCAGGCAGAAACAATGGGAAAAAGATAACCAAGTCCTACGGCAGTGTTTCTCAACCTTGGCCCCTTTAAGACGGGTGGACTTCGACTCCCAGAATTCCCCAGCCAGCATGTCGAAGTCCACCCGTCTTAAAGGGGCCAAGGTTGAGAAACACTGTCCTACACCATGAAGAAGAGCTTTATAGATCACAACCAGGATCTGATCTTATGGGTTCTGGCCCCTCCACGGCCTGCACGTGGGCCCTGACTAAGTTCCCCCCTCCTGCGCAGGGACAACATTTATCTTGCCAAGTAAAAAAGAAACCGTGAAAACGTTAGCAGGCAATATATAGGTCCCTGACTCCATCTTGCAGCAAAGTTGGATTAACCGTGGAGCAGGATCTG